TCTCTTGTTGGTAGAATATCCACAGATCTTGTTTCTGTTTTGTTTTGTTTTTATCTCTTTAGCCACTCTGCATCTTTTGATTGAAGCATTTAGTCCACTTACATTTAAAGTAATTATGAATGTATGTACTTATTGTCATTTTATTATTTTCTGATTTTTTAATAGTTATTCTCTGTTCCTTTCTTCTTCTCTTGCTCTCTTTTCTTGTGCATTGATGACTTTCTTTAGTGATTTATTTGGGTTCCTTTTTCTTTATTTTTTGTGTAAATCTATTATAGGGTTTTAGTTTGCAGTTACCCTAAGATTTATATGTAATATATAATCTATGTTTATAGTAGTCTGTTTGAAGTTGATGTTTGCTTAAGTTCAAACACATTTCAAAAGCACCACAATTTTTACTCACTCCCCCACATTTACGTTTTTCACATCATATTTTACATCTTGTACATGTGTGAGTTCCTTAGTTTGTTACTGCATTTACAGATGCTCTTACTACTTTTGTCTTTTAACTTTCATACTAGCTTTATAATTGATTGATTTACTATATTTACTAAATGTTTGCCTTTATTAGTGAGATTCTCTTTCCACATTTTCTTATTTTTAGTTTCGGCCTTTTCCTCTTTAAATTTCTTTAACATTTTTTGCAATGCTGGTTTAGTGGTGATGAACTCCTTTAGCTTTTGCTTGTCTTGGAAACTCCTTATCTCTTCAATTCTCAATGATAACTTTGCTGGATATATTCTTGCCTATAGGTTTTTTTCTCTTCTATCACATTGAATGCATTGTGCCATTCCCTCTTGCCTGCAAAGTTTTTGTTAAAATATCAGCTCCTAGTCTCTTGGGGAATCCTTTGTATATAATTAGCTGCTTTTCTCATGCTGCTTTTAAGATTCTCTTTATCTTGAACTCTGGCATTTCTATTATGATGTGTATTGGTATGAGCTGCTGTGAGTTTATCTTGTTTGAGACTCTCTGTGCTTCTTGGACTTGGATGTCTGTTTACTTATTGAGGTTGGTGAAATTTTCAGCTGTTATGTCTTCAGATAGGTTTTCTGTCCCTGTCTCTCTCTCTTCTCCTTCTGGGAACCTATGATTCAAGTGTTGGTGTGCTTGATGTTGTCCCTTAAACTATCTTCATTTTTTAAAAATTCTTTTTGCTGTTCTTATTGGATGATTTCCATGACCTTGTCTTTCAGCTCCCTGACTTGTTCTTCTGTATCAGCTAATCTGATGTTGATTCCTTCTAGTGTATTTTATATTACTGTTTTCCTATTGAGTTCTGATTGTTCTTTTTTATATTTCCTATCTTTTTGTTGATATTCTAAGTTTCTCTGTTCTTCTCCGGAGTTCATTGAACATCCTTATAATCAGTGTTTTGAATTCTTTATCTTATTGGTTGCTTGTCTCTAGTTCATTTAGTTCTTTTTAGTTCTGGGGTTTTATCCTGTTCTTTCATTTGGAACATATTTCTATGTCTCCTCTTTTTGGCCATCTCTTTGTGTTTGTTTCTGTGAATTAGGCAAAACAGCAATCTCTCCTGGGCTGAAAGGAGTGGCCTTGTATAAGAGCTTCCCCTTTGTAGACTGTGTGTGCTGGATGCCTTTGGCAGACCACCATGGAGCTGGAGTGGGCTGCTGAGCATTGCCGTGGCTGCCATGGTGGGCTAGCTGTAGCTGGAGCCAGCTAAGATTGAGGTCTTGGGTAGTCCTGGAGTCAAGCTGCACTGGGGCCACCTTGGCAGGCTGAGTGGAGCTACAGTTGTGGCAGGCATAGGCTGAAGGATGTTTTGGGGACAAGCCATACTGAGGCTTTCTTGCAAGCCAGTTGGAGCTGTAGTTAGAGAGGGCTCAAGCCAAGGGGAGTCCCAGGGGCAAGCCAAGGAGCTGTTATGGGCCTAGGGCCTGGTGCACTCTCTGATAGCCTTAGCAAACTGGCTAGAATACCTGGATCATGCCCCTGCCTGTGAGATTAAGGTGGAAGGGGAGCACAACAGTTGGCGCTTCCTGTACTTCCAACAACAGAAGAGAGTTTCCAAAGCTCCCCTTCTGTTGGCTAATGCTCTAGGGTTGTTAAATTTATTTTCTTCCATAATAGTCTAGGTGCCCTTTAAACCACTTGTTTTTTGCTGTGCCCCAAGGCAGAAGAATAGATGATCCCTCCCTTCTGCAGGTGGTGCATTGGGAGCGGGGTTCCCACCATACCATGTCTGAGTTTCTCCTACTCATTTCTGTGTGGTCTCTCTCTCTCATTTTGCTGTGCAGAAGCTGTTCAGTTGCTCTCAGTTCTTCTTCAGGGGGGCTTGCTCTGTAGGTGTAAATTCAATGTCTTTATGGGAGGGGGTGTGTTCAGTGTCTTTCTATGCTGTCATCTTGGACAGAAGTCTCTAAATTGTGGCCCGTTTTTAAAGTATGGTTTTGGGAAAGTGGTATGTAGAATTATCTTACGTGTTCATTATAAAGGAGATAGTTCCAGAATACATACTATGGTATTATGTTTTGAAGTACTTTAATAATCCAAATGTTTTATCAATATGGTATATTGATATATCTAGTACTTTTTATTTTTATAGTCAGATATAATATGAGGATGAATATTAAGTTCTCTGACTTTTTCCTAGACATGTAAAAAATCCTGGCTTTGCCACTTATTAGAACTGTTTAGACGTGGGCATGCCTGTATTTCCTCCACTATAAGATTGTCTAATAGTATTATCTACCTTCTAGAATTTTAGTTGAGTATTAAATGAGCTAAATTTTAGATGAGTTAATATATGTAAAGTACTGAAAATATTTCCTGGCATGTAGATGCTAAATAAGATTTAGCTGTTACTACTTTTCCAGAGAAAGAAATAAGAAAACGAAGTGAGATGAAAATATTGGAAAGTCAGAACATTTGTAGGGTTTATGTTTGTAGGGTTTATGTTTGTCTACCNCCTGGCATGTAGATGCTAAATAAGATTTAGCTGTTACTACTTTTCCAGAGAAAGAAATAAGAAAACGAAGTGAGATGAAAATATTGGAAAGTCAGAACATTTGTAGGGTTTATGTTTGTCTACTAAGAACATATAAGAGAGTCAACTGAAAAGTTCTTATAACCAATCACCATTTAATGGGGACAGGGTAACTATATGACATGTGCATCGGTCGTAAGCTTTTCTAGCAATAACTAGTTAGTATCATAAGGAAAAATTTTCATATACAAGCACCTAAAATAAATAAATAAATAAACAAACAAATAAATAAATAAATAAATGTGCAGTAGTCCCACCTTATCCGCAGTTTCACTTTCTGTGGCTTCAGTTACCCATGGTCAACTGCAGTCCTAATATATTAAATGGAAAATTCCAGAAATAAGTAATTCATCATTTTAAAATTGCACACTGTTCTGAGTAGTATTACAAAATCTCATACCATCCCACCTGGGACATGAATCATCCCCTGTCCATTGTATCTACCTGTATACACTACCTGCCCATTAGTCGCTTAGTACCTATCTCAGTTATCAGATCAGCTGTCGCAATATCGCAGTACTTTTGTTTAGGTAACCCTATTTAACTTAATAATGGCCCCAAAGTGCAAGAGTAGTGATGCTGTCAATTTGGAAATGCCAAAGGAAAGCTGTAAAGTGCCTCCTTTAAGTGAAAAGGTGTGTATGCATAGGAAATAACATAGTATGTATAGGATTTGGTATTATCCACAGTTTTAGGCATCCACTGGGGGTCTTGGAATGTATCCACCATGGATAAGTGGAGACTACTGTAATATTAGGGACTTATGTGACAAAAACTTCTAACTAATACATTAAAAATATCTTAAAATATGGAGAGAGATAACATTGTGTTTTTATATTTTTTTCATTGAGCTTTGTAAGAATGTCATTTTCTGTTAAATTGTTATATAATTTGAACTTGATTCCAGTTTGAAATTTATGCTCATCTAGAAGTGTTAATGAGCAAGAGATTCCCAGAACATTTTATGAACAAAAACTGAACAAGGGAGTACTTACCATATTCATTGTTGAAGTATGTTACAAACCTGTACTAATTAAAATAGTTTGGTAACAGTGCTGCAAATTACAGACAAACCAGTGACACAAATGAAGATCCAAAAACCCAAGTGAACATAGAAGTGCATAATATGGTGAAGGTGGTATTTTTCTAATCAATAGAGAAAGGTTAAATTATTTATTAAATGGTTTGGGGACAGTTGGTAGATATTTTGGTAGGAAATCATATACCAAAATGAATTCCAGGGAAATTGAAAATTTTAATGTTAAAAATGAAACCATATAAATACTAACAGAATAATATATAGGATTAAAGGGACAAAAACCTTTCTAATCATATACTAAAAGTGGAAACTGTATAAGATCCATCAACTGAGTTACATAAAAACTAAGAATTTCTGTACATTAAGTACCTACATAAATAATATTAAAAGTAAATAATCAATGATAACTATTTGTGATATGAGAGACAAAGAATCTTATAAATTTAATTGAGGGATTTAAGTTAAGCAAAACAAATTAAGAAGTAAAAACAGTATTGTCCATATTTTGAGGAAAAAAGACCTGACTAGAAATCAGACTGGAAGATGTGCTCCAAAATTGTTGATTGTAGTTGTCTATTTAGATTAGTAGATGATTTTTATCTCTTTTGCTTTTCTGTATTTTATAAATTTTCAACAAAGTGTATAAATTTCATAATTAAAAATAAAAATTTAAATAAATTATATATGCTGTATTTTGGAAAATATTACTTGATGTATAACTTTCTGAATAAAGGGATGATAATTAGTTTTTACCTTTTCACAAGCCTTGCTCGGAACATTGGAACCCATTTTTAGGATAATTAAAACTTAGAATTATAGTTCATGGTCACAAAAGTGGGAGACAAATTCAGAAAGAGTTTATTCTTATGCTTTTTATTTCTGTTTACTGTTCTAAGGAGAATTATTAGACAGTAAATAGTACTTTCTTGGTTTATTTTGTTTTGGTTACAGACTAGAAGCAGCCAAAGATGATTATCGAATACGCTGTGAAGAGTTAGAAAAGGAAATCTCTGAACTTCGGCAGCAGAATGATGAACTAACCACTTTGGCAGATGATGCTCAGTCTCTAAAAGATGAAATAGATGTTCTTAGGTAAACAATCTTCCCATCTTTGTACAATCTCAGACCTGTCATCACCCAGAACAGTTCTACAACCAATGTTACAAACTCGAGGGTCTCTAAGCATAGTAGAGCTTTTAAGAGCCAGACCACCTGGATTTAGATCTCAGTGCTATCATTTATTTAACTTCTATGTAACCATTTTCTCATTTGTAAAATGGAAATAATACAATTACCTACCTCAGATTTATATGTGGAATTAGGTGAGTTTATATTTGTAAACACTTGGATCAGTATCTGGCAAATAAGTGCTATATAAATGTTTGTCAATATAAATTAATCTCTGACCATCACTTTATGCTTGTATAGCTCTGGAGCTTTTCTCTTACTCTCCTTTTCTTTACTTTTAAAGATTCCTGCAGTCACCTGATCTTCCTTTTTCTCAGCTACTGTCATACCCGACAAGGCTTCATTTCCTTGTTGGACCTTTTTACCTTCACTCAAACATTCTTTCACTCCTTGCCACCTCATTTTCCCACCTTTGCAGTTCCTGTATAACCTGTCCTCTGTTGGATCATTCCAACCATCTATATTTCACATTTTTGCTCTTTGAGTACTGAGAACAAGTAGGGAAATTCACATAATGATACAGTTTTGTCCTACTACAAGTTAATGAGCTTTACTCTTCACTAGGTTCTTACCACTGGTCCACCATTCTGCTGCTCGTCAGTAGATGGCTCTGTCTCCCATTTCTCTCATAAGTATGACGTGTTTTCATAACTCTTTTCACCTGCATGCCCATCCCACCCCACCTCACCCATGCCTTAGTCTCAGTAGATGACATCGTCTCCTGCTGCATAGAGGAAACAGACCATGAACTATGGGACTCCCTATGTCCTGTATCTCCTGAACCTCCTAACTTCCCTGCATTCCCACTAATCTCTTCTTTCTTTCTTCTAGAATACAGACTTATTATTCTTCCTCCTGTTCAGTGCTGATTTCTTCTTCAGTGCTCTGGGTCTCAATGCTTCTCGCTTACACAGGGATTATGTTGACATCAGTTATCGTTTCTCTTCACATTTGAATCTTCTTCAGCATATATTTATATTTAGGTCTCTCTCATCCTAGAAAAAGAGAGAGACTTATTACTCTCTCCTTCCCTACAGAATAAATTTAGATTATACAGGGTAAAATTTATGTTATCTTCTTAACTCCCTAAAATTTGCCCCCACCTGCCCCAACTACTCTACTGAAACAACTGTTCTAGTTGCCAAATCACTTGGACACTGCACAGTTTATTTTGCTTTTGTACTAGTGCATGTGTGTCTGCTGGCTATGCGTGCCCCCCCTCCTGCCACACACAGACTTGCTTTCCTTAAATTATAACACTTGTCATTATAATTTTTGCTGTAATTTGGTTGTATTTTTTAACCTGAGCAAAACAAATTAACCTGGAATCACCTTTGGTCCTATAATTTCGTTAGAATGTGTTATCTCAGAGTCCCTCTTGGTTTAGCACTATCTAAAACAGCTTTATAACTGTGGATGTGTTTCTGATTTCCCATCTTATTCTAGACATTCTTCTGATAAAGTGTCTAAACTAGAAGGCCAAGTGGAATCATATAAAAAGAAGCTAGAAGATCTTGGTGACTTGAGGCGGCAGGTTAAACTCTTAGAAGAGAAGAACACTATGTATATGCAGAACACTGTCAGTCTAGAGGAAGAGTTAAGAAAAGCCAATGCAGCTCGAAGTCAACTTGAGACATATAAGAGACAGGTAAAAGAATTCTAACAAAGTTTCCTAGTGACATTGTCAAGCAGGTTCTCCATTATAACACTAGCTCTTCAAAAATCAACTGACTTTTGTTTTTACGGTATTCTGATTTTTACCTATGAAACTTAGTTCTTCGTCAGAACTTATTAACTGGTCTCTATAGCAGATCCTTTTGTTGCTTTTTATTTTTTAATTTATTATATAATTTTTAAGATATACACAAAAGTAAAAAATTAATACATTAAGTTCCATGCTTTAAAAATAAAACATGCTTTCTCCGTCATTGTAGTAAGTAAGCACTGTGCTGTTTGTGGTTTTCATTCCTGTGCATCTCTCTATTCCAGCGATTTTTCAACCTTTTTTGTCTCGTGGCACACATAAACTAATCATTAAAGTTCTGTGGCAAAAAATCTGACCCAAAAAATAGGTATAATTTTGATTCGTTCACACCGGATGACTTGTTGTGTTGGCTGTTGTCATTTTTTTATCTCACAGATCTAAGGGAAATTAAGTCAGGTATTGCATGTTTTAAAAATTTTTGTGGCACACTAGTTGAAAATCGCTGCTCTGTTCTTTTGCTGCGTATGTATATTTATTCATATGTTTGTATATGAGATGTATAGCATTTTTTTTTTTTTAAATATATCTTTATTGATTTCAGAGAGAGGAAAGGAGAGGGAGAGAGAGATAGGAACATCAATGGTGAGAGTCATTGATCAGCTGCAGCCCGCAACCCGGGCATGTGCCCTGACCGGGAATCAAACCCCAATCGCCTGGATCCCAGGTCGACGCTCAACCGCTGAGCCATGCCCAGCCGGGCGAAATGTATAGCATTTTGACATGTTTAAAGCTACACAGGGTGAGGCAAAGTAGGCTTACAGTTGGAGACAGTTTATTCTTGTATTTTATTATTTATTATTGTATTATTTTCCATACAAACAACTGTAAACTTACATTTGCTCCACCCTTTATAAATGGTGAAGTAAGAGAACTCGACTGTAATTTTGCTCAGTATATTTGAGAGATTTGTTGATATTGATAGGTGTATAGCTTTCTTCCATTCATTTGTACTGCTGCATAGTCTTACTAAATGACTATACCACAGTCATCCATTTTCCTGTTGAAGGGCAGATAGGATGTTTCAACTTTTTCTTTTATATTACAAGAAATGCCACTGTGAATAAGTAACATTGAACATTACCTCTTCTATACATGTGTGAAAATTTTATAACTTTATGGAATTTTTTCCTTAGAATATATTCATTTAATTAGATATTGCCCAATTATTCTCCAAAGTGATTATATTACCAGCAAGAAGTTTGCATGAATTTCTGTTGTTCCCATATCATCACCAACAATAGTGCTATCAGACTTGAAATTTGGACAATTGGATGCACATGAAAGGGTCTCTTTATGATTATACTTTATTTTGCATTACCCTAATTACAAATATATTTACTGATCACATTTCTTTTGTGAATTGCCTATTTTTACCTTTAATTTATTTTTTAAATTGGATTCTTACTGATTACTGAAAGTTCTTTATATGTTCTTGATATTAATCTTTTTATACATGTAATATTTCCTACCAATCTGTGACCTGTGCTTTTATATTTTTGATATTGTTAATTTTAAAATAATGAACTTTATCTTTTTCTTTATGATTTGTGCTTGTCATGCCTTGTTTAAGAAATCACTTCCTACAGAAGGATATGAGACTAACCTCTATTTCCTTAACAAAAATTTAAAGTTTGTTTGCACATTTGGTTCTTTAAGCCACATGGAATTGATTTTTGTGTAGGGTGAAAGGTTAGGATACTTTGTGTAGACAAGCAGTCAGCCTAGTAGCACTTATTTAATAGTTTCTTCCACAATGGACTACAAGTCTACTTTATTATCATATACCTAAAGTTTCCATGTTATATGTGGGTTTGTTCCTGGGCACTCTCTTCTGTTTCATTGGTCTGTCTATTCTTAACCTGTACCCCACTGTCTTATTATCTACAGATTTTTAGTAATTTTGATATTTTATAGTACAGCACCTTGTTCTTTTACAAATTGTCTATTCTTAGACCTTTTCTTTCTCTCTATACCTGAAACCTTTGGAAATTGGAATTATACTGATTCTGTTGATTAATGTGGGGGGTAACTGAAATCTTTATCACAATAATATTCCTATCTATCAGTGCATAGAATATATTTCTGTTTATTTAGTTCCTCAATATCTTTCAATTAAGTTCTATACTTTTCTTCTAAATATGGTGCATATATTTTGTTATATTCACTTTTGGTATTTTATGTATTTGGTTTTTGTAAATGCAATTAGCAAAAGAAAGTATACGATTTTCAGTTTGTTGTTCATTTATCTGATTTAAATGGATTTTTATAAACTGATTTTGCAACCGTACCAAATTTTCATATCATTTCTGCTGGGTCTTTTGTCAAAAGTGATGCACAAATAAAAGCAGTTTTATTTCTTTTTTCTACTCTATACTCTCTTTTTCTTCTTAGCATGTCTGACTTTTGATACAATTTTAAATAGAAGCAATAATAGTAACCATTTTTTGTTGATTTTATACAACATGCTTTAAATGTTTTACCAGTGTAAGAATTGCTATAGCTTTTTTGTAGCCACCTTTTACTAGGATAAAGAAATTCCATTTTATTTCTAATTCGCTCTATCTTAAATGGATGTTGAATTTAATCATCTACTTTTCCTGCACCTGTTGAGAGACTCCAACATTGCTTCTCTTCTCTATTAGTGTGACAAATTATATTACTCGATTTTCTATGCTTAAGTCATCTTTGAATTCCTGAAATACACTTAGTTTGTTCACAGTGGATTTATTTGTCATTTTCACATCATTAGATTTGCTTTGTTAATTTTACTTAGAATATTTTGCCTCAGTAATTCACTTGAAGTTTTCTGTTTAATGCTTTCCATATTTGATTTTGGCATCAGAAATATACTAGCTTAATAAAATGCATTGGAGAAGTTTTAGTAGAACAGCTCTGGCAGGTTTTTTGGTGGACACCCCCCCACCAACATTTTATTATGAAATTTTTAACATATAACAGGTTGAAAGATTAATGAACTTGAGTGTGAACTGAGAAATTACCCAAAATAAATGTAGATGAAGGAAATTGTAAATGAGATGAAAAGGTATTCAATTAAAAAGACAAATGATCTAATTAGAGTCCAGAGGAGAGAACAGGAATTGTAGAAGGACATTTATTTGAAGGAAAGGATGGCTAAACATTTTTCAGAACTAATAAAGGACATCAAATTTAGTATTAACAATGAATTACAAAGTAACTAAAAAGATACCTACACCTAGAAATATTGTAGTGAAATTATATAATACACTGATTCTCTGTTTTTGATATGAAGCTTAATATACTTTATTTTTCATTGATAATATTTTTCTTTATACAAGTTGTCTTGAGATGCACTTTCAAGCCAGCCTGATCATTTTTAATCATCTCTTATCCCTTTCATAATTTAGATTTCCTTTTTTATCTTTAAAGTATTAAATCTAGTATTTTATATCTAATAATTGCAATCCAAAATTCTTGGAGGTCTTATTTTACCATTTTGTTGTTATTGCTGTTAATGTGTTTCTGCTGACTGTTGTTCAAAGTGGCTTATTTATTTCTTTTTGGTCTTTGTTCTTTCGCTTGGCTCATCTTTGTCTTTGGGAATCCTGGAGGGCCTGGTTGAGGTGGTGATCCTCCAGACAGTGTGTGTTTTGCTTATGCCAGGTTTTCCACAGCATTTACCAACCCAGGACTATTTTAAATTAATTGCTTGTCTTAAGATTTGCCAGACAAGGCATGTGGCAACATTTTAAACACAAATCCACGTGTTAGAAGGCCATAGTTGCAAATTTTCAAGTTATACTTTTTTAAACCCAAAGCATTCACTTTAAGAAAGGCAAGTTTCCCTACTGATTTTTCCAGCTGATGGATTTTCCCCCCTCACCCACCTCTTTACTGACTCATCACCTTTTAGAGCCCATGGTGGTTTAACAACCATCTGTCTCCCATTAAATTCAAAGCTCAGGGTCCCTGGTGTTGGCCATTTGCAGCTCTTGGCTTCCCAGGCACTTCCCACTCCAGTTTTAGCAAGCGAAGATTTCACTTGCTTTCTTGTAGGCTTACCTACACAATTGAATTTTTCTCCCCTCTAGCATTTCTTTTGCTTTATGTTAAAAGGATTTTAGACTCCACAGTTATCTGTGTTATAGGACATGGAAGATCCGTGTGTTTTTTTCATCATTTTGAACGTTGTTACTCTAGATGATCTGGTTTTAGAACTCACAGCGGCAGACTTCTGTTGCTAGTTCTCTCCATTCAGTTAGGCTGCTGTATCACACACATTTTTAAAAAATATATTTGTGGGGAAGGGAGTGTTCGTAGATCTATAGAAGAAAATAGTGATAATTTCTAATGTTTCAAGTTATAAAAGTTAACAGTACCTTTCTGTGTCAGGTAGTAGAACTGCAAAATAGATTATCTGATGAATCGAAGAAAGCAGATAAATTAGATTTTGAACATAAACGGCTAAAAGAAAAAGTTGACAGTCTTCAAAAGGAAAAGGATGTGAGTATATGTATATATTTTAGGCATTTTGGGCTTGGGCGCCACTAAAATTGAAATTGATACTTAATTCATGCTTTAACTGTTGATTCCTTCTATTTATAAATTTAAAAATTAGAGATCTTACTTATTTTTAAATTTAAGATTTACATTTGTGTTTCAGAAATAGATCTAAATTAAAGATTAAAAGTGCTTTTACTTTTATATTTGCTTATTTTTCTTCCACTGTTGCCTCTTTTACATTGTTTTGCTCATGACCTTTTGTAAATATATGTAGATTTTCCGTTTTCTGTATGATTATTATAGAAGACACAATTCTTTGGGTTGTTGTTCAGCATATTTTGAATCTTCTGAAGATATTTTCTTTGCCATGATTTTGAATATTTAAATTCTTTGTTGTTTGATTTTTGTGTGTTTAATGAAAAGAATGTTAGGTACTTCTTGTTAAGGATGGTGTAGACAGTTGTGTTTCTTATGTTTAACTGAGGATAGCATATTGCCTTGCATATTGTAGACACTCAGTACTGTTAAGTGAGAAAAAATTGTTGTAATCTTTTGCCTTCTATGTTTCATAGAAGATCAAAACATCCATGTTCCCTACTGTTTACCATTTCATTAAGTTAGGCAAAGACCACTAATGAATACGCTCATAAAACTTGCAGCTAACTTTCCTTGTTTTTTAATCTCTGCAGAGGTTAAGAACAGAAAGGGATTCTCTGAAGGAAACCATTGAAGAGCTTCGTTGTGTACAGGCTCAAGAAGGGCAGCTCACAACTCAAGGTAAAACCATCTCAGTAGCCCAAGCATGATTATTTCTAATAGTATCACTATAAATATTAGATTCATTTTAAGTTGATTAGAACAATAGATGAAAATGAAAAATTGGTGAAGAGGCCATGAAATTAATACAGATTTTAAACTGTTACCCAGATATTGTAGAAAATAGTTTAGAATTATGGGGTTGAATTTTCTTGCCTACTTTATGTTTTAATTATATTTAAATATTTGACTTTATTAGGTCAAAAGTATAAACATTTATTAAATCATCTCAGTTAATAATAAGCCTGGAGCCCGGCCGGGCGTGGCTCAGCGGTTGAGCATCGACCTAGGATCCAGGCGATTGGGGTTCGATTCCTGGTCAGGGCACATGCCCAGGTTGTGGGCTAGGCAGCCGATCAATGACTCTTTCATCATTGATGTTTCTATCTCTCTCTCTCCCTCTCCTTTCCTCTCTCTGAAATNCTGTCTCTTATACACATCTAGATGTGTATAAGAGACAGATCAATGACTCTCTCATCATTGATGTTTCTATCTCTCTCTCTCCCTCTCCTTTCCTCTCTCTGAAATCAATAAAGATATATTTAAAAATAATAATAATAATAATAAGCCTGGAAAGTTCCTTATAATCTCTTCAAAAATATATCAAACTTTCTAAATCTGATTTTTTTATTTTTTCAACTGAAATGTGGAGTTGGTACTAATTTTTCTTTTCTTTTTTTTCTTTTTTCTTTTTTTTAAAGTCTTTATTAATTTCAGAGAGAGGAAAGGAGAGGGAGAGAGAGAGATAGAAACATCAATGATGAGAGAGGCATTGATTGAGCCCACAACCTGGGCATGTGCCCTGACCTGGCGGTACTAATTTTAAGGGACTTTTTTTGTGTGTCCTTCCCCTAGGATATGTTTATTGATTTTAGAAAGGGGGAGAGGGAAAGAGAAAGAGAGAGAGAAAGAGAAACATCAATGTGAAAGAGAGAGCATTGGCCAATTGCCTCCTGTATGTGTCCTGACGGGGGATCGAACCCGCAGCCTAGATGTTTGCTCTGACGGAATTAAACCCACAACCTTTTCGTATATGGGATGATGCTCCTATCAACTGAGCCACCCACCGAATGCTTAAGGGACTCTTATCCAAAGAGGAAAGTGCTCTTCTCACAGGAAATCATTTAAGACTTAATATTGTTAAGATGATAGTACTACCAAAAGCAGTCTACAGATTCAGTGCAGTTCTTCTAAAATACCAACAGCATTTTCTTCAGAAATAGAAAAACCCATCCTAAAATTCATATGGAATCTCAAGGAACCCTGAATAGCTGAAACAATCTTGAAAAGGGAGAAAAAGTTTAAGACTCACACTTCCTGATTTCAAAACTTGGTATAAAGTTAGTAATCAAAGCAGTGTACTATAGGCATAAGGACAGACATATATAGACCAATGGAATAGCACAGAATGCCCAGAAATAAATCCTTACATATGTGGTCAATTGATTTTCAACAAGAGTGTCGAGACCATTCAGTGGAACAAAGGAAAATCTTTTCAACACATTGTGCTAGGGAAACTGGATACCCATATCCAAAAGCATGAAGTTGGACCCTTACACTATATACAAAATTGAACTCAAAATGGGTCAAAGACCTAACTATAAGGGCTAAAACTGAAAAACTTTTAGAAGAAAACATGGAGGAAAATCGTCGTGGCATTGGATTCGGCGGTGATTCCTTGGAATTGATAGAAAAACACAGGCAACAGAAAAAAAATAGGTAAATTGGGCTTCATCACAAAACTTTTGTGCCTCAAAGGACACTATCAACAGAGTGAAAAGTCAACCCACAAAATGGAAGAAAATATTTGCACATCATAAATCTACTAAGTGATTAGTATCCAGAATATATAAAGAACTTCTATAACACAACAACAAAAAAACCCAGTTTACTAATGGGCATAGGTATTGAATAGACATTTCTCCAAAGATATACAAATGTCCAGTCTGCATATGAAAAGATGCTCAACATCAGTAGTCATTAGAGAAGTACAAGTTAAAACCACAAAGATACCACCGTATACCCATTTGGTTGGCTGTTACCAAAAAGGGGGAGAATAAAGGGAAAACAAAACTTACAATTGTTGGGGAAGATGTGGAGAAATTGGAAACCTCTTGTGTTGCTAATGGTAACGTAAAATAGGGCAGCCACTGTGGAAGAATTTGGTGGTTCTTCAAAAAGTTAAAACACAAAACTACTATATAATTAGCAGTTCCATTTCTAAGTATATACACAAAAGAATTCAAGCAAGGACTCAACCAGAAAAAGTATACCAATATTCATAGTAGCATTACTCAAAATAGCCAAAAGATAGAAACAACCCTCGTGTTCATCGACAGATGAGTGGATAAGGAAAATGTGGTGTAGACGTACAATGGATTCAGCCATAAAAAGGAGTGAAGTTCTGACAAATGCTACATGGATGAATTTTTAAAACATTCTGTTAGGTGAAGTAAGCCAGACAAGAGGACAATATTGGTATGATTCCACTTGAAGAGATATTTAGAATAGACTAATTCATTGAGACAGGAAGTAAAAGTTTATGAGGGGGGCAAGGGGGAAAGGAATGGGGAGTTATTGCTTAATGGTTAACAGAATTTATGTTTTGGGTGATGAGTTTTGGAAGTAGACAGTCAACGATGGCTGCACAACATAGTGAATGTACTTACAGCCATTCAATTTTACACTTAAAAATTGTTCAAGTGATGCCCAGCTGGCATGGCTCAGCGGCTGAGCATCAGTCTGTGATCCAGGAGATCGGGGTTCAATTCCCAGTCAGGGCACATGCCCAGGTTGCAGGCTCGATCCCCAGTAGGGCATGTGCAGGAGGCAGCTGATCAATGACTCTCTCATCATTGATGTTTCTATCTCTCTTCCTCTCCCTGTCTGAAATCAATAAAATATATTTTATTAAAAAATTGTTCAAATGATGTAATAATGATGTAAGACAACTGTGACATGATCTTTTACCTGACTAAAACAAAGATTTTAGCTGTTAAAATTAATTCTCAAAGTAGGCTTTCATATAGAAACTAAAGGAAATAGTTGTGCTCTCTCTTACCCTTGCATTCGTGTTTACGTATTTATAGGATTAATGCCTCTGGGAAGTCAGGAATCTTCAGATAGTCTGGCAGCAGAGATTGTTACACCTGAAATCAGGTAAGAACATCATAAAGTTCACAGTCACGCTGCACTAATTTCTGGAGAAAACTTTTCTACAGTACAAAGAGAATCATTTCCTTATTCTGTATTACTAACACTGTCAGCATGAACTCAGTAGCAAACGTCCTTGATTTCAGCATGTTAGATGCATTTTTCAACTGGCCCAAGAGACTTGATTTTCTTACTTCAGCAGGACAGCATTTCACACACACAACAAACTGATCTCTCTCTGCTCGGTTACCTTTAGCAAACATTTAGCAGTAAAACCACTTGGCCCAGAAACAAAGGTTTTGTATAGCCATCAGCCTGTAAAATAATTAGTCACTAAGATTTAGCTTTTGATTATGTATCATGGTCTGGGAAAGATACAATGCAGTAGATAGGAGGAAATATCTCCCCATCTCTACTACTCTCCCTCAGTAGTACCTTACATTTTATTTACTAATAGCATTTTAAAAATTCCATTTATTTCAATATGTGCCTGGCTTTATGTATGAGAATGAAAGATTGGTCAGGAAGCACCAAGTGACCAGGAGAATGCTGAATCTGAATATTGTTTTTACCTTCTGTGAGTCTGTTTGCCCCCTTTTTAAATTGACACTGGCCTTGATTCTTTATAATAGCCCTTGGAGTATTAAATAATATAATGGTTGTTTAAGAGTTTTATAAACTCTGAGTTACAGTAGGCATTCAAATACTTGTTGAATAAATGAAGACAATATTGATTGATTGTTTTTGGCATTTATTTAAGAAGGACACACAAAAGGAGTACAGTGCAACATTGACTCTGCAAACATCTTGTATACCTTTTTCTTTTCTGCCATGTGATATGGTACTTTATAAAATTTGAATGAATGAACATAGTATTTATGAATATTCATAAATAAATGGTTATGTCCAAAAAAAGCCCACAAAACAATTTTTAAGGAAGCTTATAGGTAATGTAGTTGGATTTTTAAACTGAGGAAAAGAACAATGATAAAGATTCAACAAATAAAATGGCTTTTTTGAATATGACTCAATACAAATTAAAATACCCTCTGTGTCTAGAAGAGCTATCAAGATAATGAAATGGTAAAAGGGACAAAAATGTGCAATGTTTGTTATAGACAATGGACTGATAGGTTTAATATATAATGAAATATACTTATCAAATTTGCCAAAACTATTATAAGTGATACTTTTCACTGATGTTAAGGGTGCGGAGAAATTGGAAACTCATAAATGAGGAGTAAACATAAAGTTATACAGCTTTTTAAAAATTAATTTTTTAATAATTGAGGTATAATTGACACATTAATTGTATTAGTTTTACTTATGCAACATAATGAGGTGATATATGTATATATTGTGAAATAGTTACCAAAATCAGTTTAATTAAGATCCATCACCACACAATTTAATTGCAAATTTTTTTTTCTTGTGGTGGTACAACTTTTCTTTTGATCATTTTTGCAAAAAGTGTATATTGTCTAAATGTATCTATTTTTTAACCCAAAAATTACTTCTCTGGGAATTAAGCCTAAGGAAATAAAGCTGATTGTTAACAGCATGTTAAATCTCAGAATTGGGAACGAGGTAATGCCCAGGGTAATTGGGTATTGAATAAGGAAGTAATGTTGATCTGTGTGTTTAACATGGCATTTAAAACACTGAAATAATATTTACTGATATGAAAAGACTGTGAAAATTTGAGCGTAAATAGCAGATATCAGTGTAACATACTGTGTGATCCATTTTTAAGCTGTTTGCATGTGTGTACATGTGCGTAGAACTAGGAGGATGTATTTTCAGCAGTAATTATTTTGCACCATAGGGTTATGGAGGGTTTCTCTTTTCTTCTCATTTAACCTTTTCCCCCCACTACAATGAGTATGTTTTACTTGCTGAAAAATACGTTAAAGTCATATTGTTCATACATAAAATATATCAAGTTCTATATAATTGCTTGAGTTGGGCCACAAATTTGACTTTCATCTTTTCAACAGCAAAAGTAAAATTGCTTTATAAGATTTATGCTGTTTACAAAATAAGAGCAGACTATTTTGTGTATGTGTTTATTTTGTTTTTGTGTTTTCTTTTTCCATCGAGAAGAACAGCTTTTCATAGCATCTTGTATGAGTAAGGTTAAGAATGAATTATATTTACAAGAAGTAGATCTTCAGTTATATCTTCACATGAATTAATATTCAATTATATCATCCTTGCAGTAAATGTAGCGGCAAGTTTTTTGTGGCTGTTGCTTTTAACATTCCTCAGTGTAAGCTTTTGGCATAACACAAGGAGCCCAAAACAATCTAGTTCAATAAGCTGGCTCTGATAACCTGGTTTGTTATCAAAATACAGTTTTACATATATATAGGAATGGATGGACTGCAGATCCTGAAGGCATTCTTCTGTGGATATTATATCATTCCACCAAATGATTAGTAATTTAAGAGCATGGCACTGGAGATCATGTTTTTTTATGAGAGCTAAAGAACATAAATACTTTCATAGCTTAAATATTTTAATCAGAAAGGAAGTGGGATTTTGAAATCTCTTTCATTACAAATCATACTTGGAGAGTTATCTTCAGATTATCCATTCTAAAAAAGAAAGTGCTTAAGCCCGGAAATGTAATGTTTTAGCCACTTCCAACAGGAGCTACATTCTTTGCAGGTACTTTGTTTTCATCTCTGTTCTGTGCATAGCTGGATTTTGATAACTATGTTGTATTAATGTACCAGGTAAACAGTGTTTATTTTGCTCATTTAGGGAGAAACTTATTCGTCTTCAGCATGAGAATAAGATGTTAAAACTTAACCAAGAGGGTTCAGACAATGAAAAAATTGCCTTATTGCAGAGCCTTTTGGATGATGCAAATCTGCGCAAGAATGAACTGGAGACAGAGAATAGGTAGGAGTGTATATAGGCAGCTGCATTTAGCCACAGGTTTTCTCTGCCTTGATTTTGATTAACTTAAAGGTGTGAGCTGTATTTTCAGAAGTGATAATGTGTTATTCCATTTCCTTTTAAGATTCCTCCATTTATGGACATATTTGCTAAAAAGTATTGTACCTCTTTATAATATTTCCTTCTTTATTTTTTTAAGCAAAATGATACCAAAGCCCTACAACTTCCCTTTCTAATCACGAATTAAAGCTACTTCAGACTCCAGCAGTTTTGTTACAGTGTTTGCTTGTCCATTTCCGGTTCCTGGGCTTTTGCGTTGCTTTCAAGTCTTTCCAAAGGACATCTTGACACGGAGTGATTGATTGTGCCTTATGACATTTACAATGGCCTCCACCTAACAGGCTTGCAATATTTGCTGACTAAGTAATTTAAAAACTGGCTAAGAGGGATAGTTGAAATAGTCTTATAGTTTGATGTATATTTTCATATTGCTTTCTGAAAAGATAAAACAAAGTTACCATACCACTTTTCAGATAATTCTTTCACTGTTGAAATCACTCAGATATTATATTTCCTGATGTGAAAAATATCAGTTATTATTGTAGATTTGATTGTATTTTTACTGCGATTGTCACTAAATTATAGAACATAGGTTTATGATCAGAATTTCTTGTAACTTCTTGAGTTAAAAACAAGTCTTATTAAACTTTCTGTCTTTTTGTCAGACAAACTTTCCCTGTTTTGTCCTTAATTTGGGGCAGTCTGTCTTTTACTACTACCATCTCACTAAAGTATTTCTTACTGAAATAACCAGTCATCTGTTAAATGGCCAGTCCAGTGGGAGCAATCAGGACTTTGTCTTTCCTCATCTCTCTGCTGTATTCATTGTTGTTGATCATTTCCTCCTTCCGCCAACTTTTTTTTAGTTGTTAATTTCAGTAACTCCCCTGTCTTGTGTTCTCCAGGTTCTCTTAATCTCCAGGCTCCTCTTTCTACCCTGTGCTTGGTGATCTGCCATGGGCCACCTTTTTATTCTTACACTTTTCTCCACATTCTTCCTAGTCAATACCCTAAGTGTTATTTTTTTATTCCTTGTGTTCTTGTGCCTTCCCAATATATTTCCCCTTCTGTCCGCTTCTATTTCAGGCATATTTGGTAATTATTGTAAGAGCCTCCTCCAGCTCCAGGCCTTCATGCATGCTCTTTGACCTTTTTTTTTTTTTAAATATTATTTTTTTAATATATCTTTATTGATTTCAGAGAGAGGAAGGGAGAGAGAGAGAGAGAGAAACATCAATGATGAGAGAGTCATTGATTGGCTGTCTTTTGCACACTCCCGACAGGACCAAGCCCTCAACCCGAGCATGTGCCCTGACCGGGAATCGAACCACAATCTCCTGGATCCTAGGTCAACGCTCAACCGCTGAGCCACTCCTGGCCCGGCACTCTTTGATCTTTTTAATACATCTTCCACTCTCAAACCAGTGTGATCTTTCTAAAATATTATCTAATCATGATTTTTCCTTCTTGTGGTCCTCAACATTATCCAAGACCTACGGAACCAAACTGGTCTACTGAATGTTGCATCATAATTACCTAGAGAGTTTATGAAGATCAAGCTTCAGAATCAGCATTATTAAAGGCTGGCTGGGTTATTTCAGTTTCAGCCTAATTTTAGGCCAGATTATTGGTTAAGTTCCAGATACTTTCGGATTTTACACAAGATTGCACCCAACCTCTCCTTTTCTCCTCTGATTTCACCTTCAGCCATTCTTACCCCTCATCACTTATTCCTCTGCATACCATTCCTGAGCTCACTGTACCCTCTCATTTTTCTGTGTACTTTGGACATGTTCAATTCTGTCTTGCACCCCCTTTTATACCCTTAACCACATATTTTATTTATTGTTCTAGTCTCAGTTTAAGTCAAGCCTATCTTAATTCCTTTACACAGTTAAGTCCAGTCCTTGCTCATCTGAGCAGACATCATTCTTTTGTGTACATCTGTGCACTGTGTTAAAGTATTTATCTCATATTTAATTTGTTTGTTTACATATTGCCTCCCCACTAAATTCCTTGAGTGCAGAAATCTTTTAACACTTGTGTTGAGCATAGTGTCTGACACATAGTTTGAATAAATATATGTCAAAGTGAATTTCAGATAAATAGATATGCATAGGTATATCATTCAACAGAATGTATCCACAAAGCACTATGTTGGAAGTCATCATAGAAATTTCAAGCACTGAAAAGTAATCAAAAAAGTGAGCTGCTACTACTATAACCGTAGGCTTTATTTTGTTAATTATGCTGTCTCTAACCAATATGACAACCTAAGAAAAAAGACATAAGTCAGAATTTGGAAAATTAATGTACATTTGATTTCTAGGCTGGTGAATCAAAGACTTCTGGAAGTACAGTCACAAGTTGAAGAATTGCAAAAATCTTTACAGGATACAGGATCAAAAGCAGAAGATGTAAGTTTTAATATGTACCAACCATGGTCCAACAGTTTCACAATATTAACAAAACCTATAACTTTTATTTTTTAACTTGATGTTCTCTATCAAAATAATTTATAATTATGTATATCAGTTATAAAAAAGAAACAATGTTTTCCTTTTACTAGCATATCCAAAAAGAGCCAGATGATACTTTATTGTCCACTGAGAATTAGAAGTTCATTTGTCGTTATCAGCTAAGAAGTTAATTGAGTTTTATGTTTTCACAAGTGCTCAACTCAATATTCAAAGTATTGGGTTTTTCCCTTTGGTATCCCTAACGCACTCACAAATATAAGTTCACAAATATAAGTTAAATATTTCCTTACACTCTATTTGTCATGGCCCTGCCTGCTTGACTGGCATGCTCAAATCTAGAATATAGTAAATGTGTTAAGCCAACGGCTAGGTCTTTTTTCATCTCCTCATGCTGTCTATCACAGTGCTTATGTAGCATGTAGCAGTCAATCAGTCTCTGATGAAAGTGTAAATGAATCATATTTTGCAAATTCTTTATGTCTAATGAACAGTATACAATAGAGCTGCGACTATAAAATGCTCAAAAATAATGTAAAGGGCGGGGGGGATCCCTAAATTTTAGTGACCAGTCTTTGCTTCAGCCTGTTGGTTTTTTTGTTGTTGTTTTTCCTATTGCCAGTGTAATTTACTATAAACTCTGGCTTTTGGAGATAAACCTTTCTGATTGTTCCCATTGGCAGAGTCATTTTGGGGATTCAAGTCAATGGTAGATGTATCTAATTTCATCAGCCTTATTAACAGAAGAGGGTATAAGAACAAGAGGAATCCAAGAAAGAGAGTTAAACTAGGACAGTGTTTAAACCATGAGAATATTAGATATAAAAAGCTCATCAGTGACCTAATTTTAGGAGTTTCATAAGATTTATGAGCTTATATTGGCAGCATGCTCTCTTTGCATTGGCTTTAGTTCATCCTTTAATTAATGTGTTGGTAGCTCTTAGATTCCCAGGTTGATTTCCACTTCCTAAAATTGTCACCAACATTTAAACTACCTTATTCCCATATTAAAATGGAACTAGTTTGAAATGTCATGGTTTACTTTTAAAACATACTTCTGTCCAGAATGCTAAATCATGAGGAGATGAAGCAAAACCATTTGCATATTAAAATATTAGTAAGCCTAAGTAAGAATATCTTAGAAATGAACCAAATGGGTAACATTTTTTAGTTCCGTGAAATCTCTTGGTCTCTCTCACTGAGGACAATGTAAACTTAGTTTTGGTCTTTGAAAGTTGGATGTCTTTCTGTTGATTTGCTGTAGAGAGGAGAAGGGCCTGTGGTGCCTAGGAGGTAAAAACGGTGAAACATCAGTATCAGCTCAGCCTTAGTGCTGTAGCAGTAATCCTTGTACTTGATTCTCTTATACATTAAAACACACATAAAGAACTTTATTCTGTAAAAAATAATTTTGCGTAGCCTGGCTAGGTACCAGTGTGGTAATCAAATCTAATTGAATATGCTGTATGCCATGACTTTAAGAGAACATATTTCAGAAGTGATATGCAAGCCCTGTAAAGTACTATTTGCATAAATTAGTTTATTTGACTGCCTAGATGCTCATGAGATGTCTTGCTCTAAATTCTTAAAAATTTTCAGATCTCTTTTCTACACATAGGAAATACTCAGTTAGAAATTTCTCTTATTCTGATGATATGCCTCAGAATGGGTTAGAGAAGTAGTGTGGTACAGGATACGTTGTTCTTTCCCTGGCAGACTCTCAATGCTTTCATCTTCTCTCTTTTACTAACCCACAGTGTTGCATCTGAGGAATATGTACCATGTAGAACAACCCACCAAATGGAATTAGTCCCCTCTGAAGAACAGCATAATTTCTACTTATCTCTGTTACCAAAAGCACAGTCCTTTCAATAACCTTAAGTTAGAGTAGGATGGTTTGCACATTTTTATTATTATTTTTATGTCATTTATTTTTAGCATGGAAGCAGAAAAGCATTGTTATATCCAGTCATATGGATAATTTGAGCTAGCCACAGTGTATAAAACTCCAGAGAACAAGACAGGATGAGGAGACCATAGAAGAAAGAAAAATGTACATTTTTGAAAAAAATGCATATCTTTTACTTCTGTTCATGAATTACTAAATCGTTCCTTCTATTGGCTGCTGTGTTTGCTTCATACTAATATGTCCTCTCTGTCTCTTGGCATGGTTTCTGCTCAAGGCTATTGTAAGTATGGCTTCCTATTGGTTTCTATATATTGAGCAATTTTATTATTTATAGATTATCTGCCATTGTAGTTGATGGTATTAAAATTTTAAATTATGGGAACTTTATGCAAAATGAAGATACCAATATTACTTGCTTCATAGGTTTATGTGCTTTATGGTTAAGATGCTGAAAGGATACCTGCCACTTGAAAACTACTGAATGTCTACCCAGCTTCACCTCCTTCAGCTATAAGATGGGCTAGTATTACTCAGTGTTGTGAGGTGAACATGAGACAATGTATCTGACATGCTTTAGCTCAGTGCCTGGCATGTTAACCACTCCTTAAATCATTATTTTATTATGCATTATCTCAGAGTTAAAATTGATTTTGTAGAGCCTATCAAAACCTAAGTGCAAAGTTAAAGTTATTTAGAAAGTATTTTCATTTTACCGTGTGTACTAAGAAGGAACAAGCATAATCAGAAGTTAATAGCGTTATTATCTTTTTTACATTTGGGGGAAGCAGTGACGGAGAACTTTGTGGTCCACCGATCTAGCTATAGTTAACATACTGAGCAAGGAAATGAGCTTGAAATTCTCCAGAGCTATGCTAGAATGGACTTGAATAAATAGTTACAGGAGTCGTTACCAAATAAGGGGACTGAAAACTGAAGAACTTAGTGTGTGAAGTTTTTTTTCGCATTACTGCTATTAATTGATTGAACAATTTGTTTAATATGCCTATATTAATTGGGTTTGACAATTATGTAACCATTTATCTTGAAATGTTTCATAGAATTCACTAATTATATGTACCTTACAAGTGTTTAGATATGAAACCTAGTGGCCCTATATAGATGCCACTATTCTTTAGATTATTTTTAGGTCAATTCTGACCTGCTTTTCAGGAGACTTTTTTTTTTAATACCCAGTCAAATACTTCATTCTCTAGCATATTAAATTCTGTGTATATGTCATCCTTCATATTCCCATGCCATCACATAAATTATTTGTAACCTGTGCTTATTTGTAAATCGCTGATTAAATCTTAAGTACTTATGGAAATTGATCCCAGACTTTATCATGATGCAGGGAAAACAATATAAAAAGCGTCTTATGGAAAGTCTATTATTATTAGAGTTCTACCTGCCTACTGAATCCAGGAATATTATTAGGTCTATACATAAGTGGCTTTTTAATTCATTTCCCTTACTATAAATAGATAATTCAGATGTGCAGTTTGTGGGTATTTTATACTGATTGCTGTCATTTACAAACTGCTCTCTCCCTGTCAAAGCAAAACAAACTTGGGTACATTGTGTGTTTTGAGCTTTGACCGGAGAGATTACTGAGGGCTCACTCAGAGTTAGTTACTACTGTGCTCTTAATTTTTAGAAAATAATCATTAGTTTTAAAAATGTTAATAAATTATTTTTTATTTTCCATTTTCAGTCAGTTCTTCTAAAAAAGAAACTTGAAGAACATCTGTAAGTATAAAAGCTACTGAAGCTCATCCTTATATTATCTAGTGAAACATAAGTGTTTGTTTTATTTATTTATTTATTTATTTATTTATTTATTTATTTATTTATTTTTAAATATATCATTATTGATTTCAGAGAGAGGAAGGGAGAGAGAGAGAGAGAAACATCAATGATGAGAGAGTCATTGATCGGCTGCCTCCTGCACACGCCCTGCTGGGGATCAAGCCTGCAACCCAGGCATGTGCCCTGACTGGGAATCGAACCTCGATCTCCTGGATCCTAGGTCATTGCTCAACACTGAGCCATGCCCAGCTGGGCAACATAAGTGTTTTATGTTAGGTGGTTACAGAGTGCCTAGGCAATGGTTTGGGTATTCTTTGAAGAAACAGAACATTGTAAGACACAGTGTCTACTGGGTCATCTCCACCAAAGATTGTCAAAACAGAACAATGACTGCTTTAGAACTGTTTTTAAATGTGATTCCAGGGTTTTATAACTTTAAGGCAGTACTTATAACCGTAGTTAGGCATTTGAGACATTCTAGATCAGGAGTCAGAAACCTTTTTTCGTAAAGGGCCCAATAGTAATTACTTTAGGCTTTTAGATAATATGTAAACTAATGTTGTGACTGTTCCAATAAAGCTATAAACAAACAGGCAGCAGACTGAATGTGGCCCACAGGCTGTAGTTTGCCAGCTTTGTAGTGTGGCCAGCTGATTCCTCCTTTTTAATTTTTTAATTTTAATTTTTTTTTAAATTAAACTTATTGGGGTAAAATTGGTTAAGAGGATCATATAGGTTTCAAGTGTACATTTCTAGGGTACATGATCTGTGTGTTGGATTGTGTACCCACCACCCAACATCAAACCATTCCATCACTGTATATTTGGCTTCCTTTATCCCCGCATCCTGTCCCTCTGGTAACCACTCTATTGTTGTCTATGAGTTTCAGTTTTATTTCCCACATATGAGTGAAATCATATGGTTCTTAGCTTTTCCTGACTGACTTCTTTCACTTAGCATAATATTCTCAAGCTCCACCCATGTTGTTGCAATGGCAATATTTCATCTCTTCTCATGGCTGAGTAGTATTCCATTGTATACACGTGCCACCTCTTTATCCAATTATCTGTCAAAGGACGCTTTAATTGCCTCCATGTGATGGCCACCGTGAATAATGGTGCAGTAAACATAGGGGTGCATATACCTTTGTGAATAAAATGTTTTTCACTTTTTCAGGTAGATACCCAGAAGAAGAATTACTAGGTCATATGGTAGCTCTATTCTTAATTTTTTGAGGAACCGCCATACTGTTTTCCATAGTGGCTATACCAATTTACATTCACACCAGCAGTGAATGAGGGTTTCTTTTTCTCCACAACCTCTCCAACGCTTGTTATTACCTGTCTGGTTGATAATAGACATTTTTACAGGTGGAGGTGATATGTCATTGTAGTTTTGATTTGCATTTCCCTAATAGCTAGTGAAGTTGAACATCTTTTCATATATCTGTTCACCATTTATGTATCTTCTTGGTAGAGGTGTCTGTTTAGATCGTCTGCCCATTTTTTAATTGGATTGTTTATTTGATGTTGAGTTTATTGGATTGTTTATTTGATGTTGATTTTGGGTATTAACCCCTTGTTGGAGCTGTTGTTTGCAAATATCATCTCCCATTTGGTTGGTTGCCTTTTTGTTTTGTTGTTAGTTTCCTTTGTTGAGCAGAGGCTTTTTAGTTTGATGTAGTCCCATTCATTTATTTTTGTCTTTACTTCTCTTGCCTTTGGGGTCAAATTCATAAAATATGACTAAGATCCATAAGTTTAGTACCTATGTTTTCTTCTATGTAATTTATTTTTTCAGATCTTATATTTAGGTCTTTGATCCATTTTGAAATAATTTTTGTACTTGGGGACAAACTGTAATCTAGTTTCATTCTTTTGCATGTGGCTTTCCAATTTTCCCAGCACCATTTATGGAAGAGGCTTTCTTTTCTCCATTGTGTGTTTTTGGCTCCTTTGTTGAAAATTATCTGCCCATATACATGTGGTTTTATTTCTCTCTCAGTGCTGTGCCATTGGTCTGTGTGTCTGTTTTTCTGCCAATACCATACTGTTTTGATTATTGTAGCTCTATAGTATAATTTGAAGCCAGGTTGTATAATACTTCCAGCTTCGTTTTTTTCTCAGGATTGCATTGGCTATTCAGGGTCTTTTGTGGTTCTATACAAANGGGAAGGTGAGGGTGGATGGGTGAGGGGGTGGGGAGAGGTTAACATAAGAATTTATGTGCATATATGCATATCCCATAGACACAGACAGTAATGGGGGGAAGGCCTGGGGAAAGGGGTACGGGGGGAGGGAATCAATGGGGGGAAAAGGGAGTACATCTGTAATACTTTCAACAATAAAAATAAATTTTAAAAATTAAGTCAATAAAAATACATCCTTAATCCATCTGAAATTTATTTTGGTTTAAGATCTTAGGTAATAATTCAACACTTTAAATGGTTAACCAACTTTCCCAGCACTATACAGGGTGGGGCAAAAGTAGGTTTACAGTTATGAGTAGAAGAAACAGAGCTTATTCTTATATTCTTACTTATTATTGTATTATTTTCCATACGAATCACTGTAAACTTACTTTTGCCCCACCCTACATATTGAATAAGTATTTCATCATCTATAATTTGTATGTGTATATTAGAGTCTGTTCTCTATTTACTTCCATTGATCTATTATTTCCTCATTATGCTGTTTTAATTTTTAGCTTTATAAAATACTAGAATATCTGATAAGGTGAAGTCCTGTTTAGTGCACTTCAGAATCACTTTGCAGTAATATTTTTAAAAATGAGGATTTTGTTGGGAATTGCAACAGCCTTTAATTGGTTTGGTTAGACAGGGCATTTGTAATACTTCTTTCTTCCATCTTGGAACATGGTATTTATTCAAGACTTCTCTTACCTTTTGCAGTAAATATTCTCCCCTCCACCCCCACTCTCTCTAAAAAAAGCAACGGAAGAAATATCCTTGGGTGAGGATTGAAAAAGAAAAAGGTGCAGTTCTGTTTCATGACGTATACTTATGGCTCAAGACGGGCATTCACACCGGAAGGCTGCTGTGCTGGGCATTGTCATCATTTTATTTCACAGTCTAAGGGGAAAGAGGGCAGTGCCCTTGACTGGTTAAATACAGCATGTTTTAAAAATTTTTGCGACACACTGGTGAAAACCGCTGCCCTAAATTCCTAGCAGTGCTGTTGTCCATGTGTCAGGAGACGTGTAAAGTATGGAAGGATATTGTTTATAATCACAGAAAAGTAGAAACAATACCAGTTGGGCCCTGGCTGGGTAGCTCCGTTGGTTTAGAGTGTCCTCCCCAGTAAGCCAAGGTTGCGTGTTCGATCTTTGGAAAGGGCACGTACAAGAAGCAACCAGTGAATGCACAAATAAGTGGAACAACAAATCTATGTTTCCCTCTCTCTCTCTCAAAATCAATAAATTGAAAAAAAACAAAAAACAGCCCAGCTGGCGTGGCTCCGCGGTTGAGCAAAACCTAGGGTCCAGGAGGTCAAGGTTCGATTCTAGTCAGGGCACATGCCCGGGTTGCGGGCTGGATCCCCTGTCGGGGGTGTGCAGGAGGCAGCCAATCAATGACTCTCTCATCATTGATGTTTCTCTCTCTCCCTTCCTCTCTCTGAAATCAATAGACATATTTTTTAAAAGATACTACCAATTATAAAATGATAGCTAGAATGAGCTGTATTCAAACAATAGAACACTATAGAGTGGTAAAAATGTGTAAGCTCGGGCTAACAACAACATAGATGAACCTCAAGAACATAGTGTTACGTAAAAGATGGAAGTCACAGAACAATACATACAGTGTAAGTAATGTATAAAGTAAAAATCGGGCAAAATTGAGCAATACATTGTATAGGAGTACAAAGGCCTATTAAAAAATCATGAGAATGATTAAAATTCTGAATTCTGGTTACCTCAGGGAAGGGGATAGGGACACGTTGTTCTGGGATAATTTTTTCTTAATTGCTTCTTCACTGGGCTTCGTTCTTCTTGTCCTTTAAACTATATATATTTATTGTGTGTGTGTGTGTGTGTACAGGCTGGGACAAAAGGTTTGCAGTGGTTTGTATGGAAAATAATACAATAATTAATAAATAATAATACAAGAATAAACTTTCTAGTACTCACAACTATAAACCTACTTTTGCCCCACCATGTGTGTGTATGTGTGACTGAGATGCCCTCAAGAAATTGTTGAAAAAGATTTATTACTGTATTATGCATTGAAAAGACTAGAAATAGAGGAAACAAAGTTGTCTATTTTCTGTTTTTCTGTATTTTGGCAGCCTTCTTTCTCTTTCATACTACAGAGTGCCACACTAAATACTATAGGGAGAATTACATATTATATAAACACCAGGAATAAAGTTACTTTTGGTTGATTCGGTTTTTTACATTTGTATTAGAATGTAACTTAAAGTATGCAAATCCAAAGCCCCTAAGTCTGCAAGCAGCTTGATGAGCATTTTCCTACGTACAGGGGTAGCCCAGATCAGCACACAGCGTATTCCCAGCGCCACCAGCATTTATCGTTCTCCCTTGTGACTGATTGATTATAGCCCCAGAGTAGCCGCTGTGCTAATCTCCATCACTTTTCATTAGTTTGGATACTTCCTGAAGTTCATATAAGTAATAATTCAGTATTGCCCTGTTATGTCTGACTTCCTGTGCCCCACAGCCTGTGATATCTATCCATGTAGTTGCATGTATCTTTCTTTTCGGTTGGCATAGTGTTCTTTCTGTTCTTATTGTTAGAACTTCACCTTTTTGCAATAAGATTTTTGCATTGTAAAACCTCTACAAAGTTTTAAATTTAATTTCTACAATATCCTTATTCCTAGGGGAAAAAATAAAAATCATTAAGTTCTTTGTACCCTCTTGTGCAGGTTTATGTAAAAGAAGTGACTACTACTTCAAACACTGAGATTTTGTCTCTATTTTTTAATTTACTTTTTAAAGATATATTAAGTTCCTTTTGGATTTGTCTTTTCATCTTTGTTTTATAGCATTATGTGCTATGCAAGTGTATGCCAAGAATAAAGAACTTACATTTTTCATTTGAAGTGAAAAAAAAATACATAACAGTACTAGATGACACTGTGTTATATATTTTGTTACAGAGAGAAGCTACACGAAGCCAATAATGAATTGCAGAAAAAGAGAGCCATTATTGAAGATCTCGAACCAAGATTTAACAACAGCTGTGAGTTTTTCCTAATTAGCACAGTTTTAAATAGGTTAGCCTTACTTTACCTTGGTGGTGAGTTTATATAAATTGTTTATTTTAGAAATAAGCCCCATTTTAAAGGATTTGCTTTATTTTTAAAAAGAGTATATAATCTTCACAATAGTTCTTAAATTTCTAATTACAGTTCTGTCTTTCCATAACTATGGATGCTAATGAATACTTTATGAAATTATTTTCAGTGTGATATTAGACAGACTTTTACTTTCACATGTGGAAGGTGGAACCAAACATAGACTTTGACTTGTTTTCATTGTGATAAAATATACATAACATAAAAATGACCATTTTAGCCATTTTAGGCATACAGCTCAGTGGCAGTAAGTTTATACGCACTGTTGTGCAACCATAAGCGATCGCTCAACTGTCCAGTATAGTGATGTTGTGCAACTACCATCATCTCCAGAACTTTTTCATCATCCCAAACTGAAACTCTGTACCCCAGCCCCTGGTAACCACTGTTCTATTGTCTCCGTGATTTGACTATTAGGTATTCCCATTCATATAAGTGGAAACATATAATATTTGTTCTTTCCTCTCTGGCTTATCTCACTTAGCATAATGTCTTTCATTTTTACTCAGCATAATGTCTCCATATTGTAGCGTGCTGAATAATACCTGATTATATGTACATACCACATTTTGTGTGTGCATCCATCCATCAATGGATATTTTTTAATTTAAGCACTTTCATACTAGAGTTTTTGTTTATAAAAACTTTTTGTAAAAAAAAAAAAGATGAATTGTTGTTTTTTTAAAGAAAATTATTGGAATAGATCAATTTCAGAACTATTAACTATTTCCTATTAGTTGAAATATTTTTAAAGTTGTTACAATTTAAAAACTGTTTCTCATTGTCTCATCTGTAGCCTTAAAAATTGAAGAATTACAAGAAGCTTTACGGAAGAAAGAAGAAGAAATGAAGCAAATGGAAGAACGCTACAAGAAATACTTAGAGAAAGCCAAAAGTGTAAGTCTGCATTCGTGGGCACTCACTTCCCTTTCTGATCATGTTTCACTGACTTCTCAAAATGCAGGTAGAGTGACTTCTCATGCAGAGAATCAGGAGAACAAGAAGTACCAAAGGGAGCCCGGCCGGCGTGGCTCGGCAGTTGAGCACCGGCCTAGGATCCTGGTCGGGACACATGCCTGGGTTGCCAGCTTGATCCCTGTTGGGGGGCGTGCTGGAGGCAGCCGATCAGTGACTCTCTCATCATTGACGTTTCTCTCTCTCTCTCTCCTTCTCCCTCTCCTTTCCTCTCTCTGAAATCAGTAAAGACATATTTTTTTTTAAAAAAAAAGAAGTACTAAGAGGAAAATGTACCTTTATGTAGGAAATAAGTTTCAGTCAGCACCTTAACTAGTAGTCAAAATTACCTCCACTAATGGCAGAACAACCAGCATCTTGTGGCCTCATGATGGGTTATCATTGCCAATAATGTTTAACCTGAATCTAAGCAATCTTCAGTTCTCAGGGAAAATGAGGTTATTAGAACAAGTTAAATAACACTTTTAGGAAATCAGGTAAATGCAGAATTTGGGATAAAAATCAATGTTCTGAAAAACAAAAATGGGCACTAGAGTGTGGGGGCAGCAAAAGAGGCTGTTGTAATTTTTATTTTTATTTATTTTTTATTTTTAAAATATATCTTTATTGATATCAGAGAGAGGAAGGGAGAGGGAGAGAGAGATAGAAACATCAATGATGAGAGAACCACGGATCTGCTGCAGCCCGCAACCCGGGCATGTGCCCCGACCGGGAACCGAACCCTGATCGCCTGGATCTTAGGTCGACGCTCAACCGCTGAGCCACGCCCGGCCGGGCTGTTGTAATTTTTAAAAGCCCATGGACTTTTAAAAATTAAATGCCCAAATATAATACATTAATCTTTGGGTCCTGGACTGGGGACAGAAGGGCAGTTAGACATTTTGGAGACACCAGTGGAAATATGGATTTGGACAAAATAGTGATGATTTGTAGAACTATTATCTTACAGATGATAATCTTACTGTGATTATGTAGGAGAATGCCCTTAGTCTAAAGAGATCCATGTTGAGATCCATGTTGAGGTATTTAAGGGTTATGTGTCATGAGATCTGCAAGTTGCTTTAAAATAGTCCCCCAAACAAGCAATTGGGGGGAGGGGTGTGGAGAGAGAGAGAGAGAGAAATCAAAAGTGGCAGTGCAGTAATTGGTGAATCTGTGTTAAAAGAAATGGGTTTTTATTGTTCTGTTCTTTCAAGCTTTCTATAGGTTTGGCCATTTTTGATGGTAAAAGTATTGGGCCAAAAAGCAGACTTTCCCAGAAGACCTCTAGTTGGCTAGCTAGAATTGTGTCACATGCGCATGCCTAAACCAAGCCACTGGCAGAAGAGGAGATGGGTCACAATGACAGGCTTTTAAACCATCAAGACCCTCTTCCTAAGTCCACATCTGGTCAGAGGCAGAGGGCTAGCTGAACCAAATCAAAAGGAAGGGAAAGGCTAAAACAGCTGTCAGTAGCGTCTGCTGTTAGTAAAATACATTAATTTTCAGCAAAAATGACTTCTTATAATTATTTTACATAATTTAAAAGCTTTCTATAATTAAAAGTTACAATAATTGAACATTATTTTATACATTCAAATTTTAATGTATCCTTGTAAGATAGCTTTCATTTTCATAAGGTTTATCTTTCATTTTTTAAATAAGTGCTTCCTTAGATGTTACATTCTTTCAGTTTGAACTTTCAAATTTTTTCTTTTATTACTTTTTACAGGTTATCCGTACTTTAGATCCTAAACAGAATCAAGGAGCAGCACCAGAAATACAAGCTCTTAAAAATCAACTTCAGGAACGGGACCGAATGTTCCATTCATTAGAGGTAGTTCACTGTTTTGTATAATAAGATCATTGATTTTGATTCTTTCTTTTCCGGAAGCCTTGCCATATGCAGTTGTCTCCACTAATGTAGAGTTAATTGTGACTATTTTATTGATATTGAATTGTTTTTCACCTTTACATGTTTATATGTGCTTGTTTTTTTAGAAAGAATATGAGAAAACGAAGAGTCAAAGAGAGATGGAGGAGAAGTATATTGTTAGTGCCTGGTACAATATGGTAAGACAGCAACACTTCAAAACACTGCAGAGTTCAGTGAATGTGTAGTATTTATTACCCGCCCTTTACTGTAGAAGCAGTTCTACCAAATGAATCTGAAAGTAATTGCTGTCCTAACACACACTAACAAAACCTTAATGCTGACCCTAGACTGAGAAGCAGGTATGAGCCGGCGTGCAGGTGGCCAGGGCATCTCGAACACGTCATCACCCCTGGAGAGTAGAAGGATAAACGACAGCTTGATTTTTGTCTCTCAGAACCATTTTCTTCTTGGGAAAGGATGTTAATAATATCTAAATGCTGATGCAGTAGCTTTTGTTTTGTGGGACAATTTCAGTACCTACCTTGCAGGAGTGGTACTTATACTGAGTGTAATTTAACTATCTCATAGGGTTTGGAAAATGTTTATGGTTGTTAGACCCTGAACAACTGGAGGTTTCGAAATTAGATTTTCCAACACACATAAAAGGCTTAAAATGTATTGCAGGGGAAAATAAATGCTCACCACATTCTGGGCTTCAGTAAGGTTTTCTGGATATGAATAGCTGTGGATTTGGAAGAATGCTGTACTTCTTTCAGTACTTTTTCCTAGACTTTTCATCTTTTTCTTTTTTGTTCTTCTTCCCAAGACCACTTCTGCCTTTTCAAAGTGTTAGTTGCCTGAGAAGGGAAATTAAACCAGATTCCTTTCATCAACCCTCTTGGAACCTATAGTTGTGTTATTGGCACATTACCATTGTTTCTGTTTCACAGTTCTAACCGATACTGTGCCTTAAAGATTAGTGTCCCAGTCTCCTAATCGTGTGATTTGATCTGTGTCAAAAATTCTTACAATTTCATGGCATATCCACATTTATAATTGCCTTGGTTAAAACTACATATTGAAGGTTTTACCACAATTTAAAAACAAAAGAGAAAGTCATTGAGTTTAAAATACTATTACTGTTAACAAGTATAGGTTTCTTGAAAATTAAAATTAAAAAATAGGAAAAAACTAAATATTAAGGAAGTTCTCTGGGAACTAGTCTTGACACCACCTGTTCTCTTTCCTCTTTATCTTTCTTACAGGTTAGTAATAGCCATCTGGAGCTCTGCCCCTCAATCCTTATTAGCAATTTCATATTCTTGATTTTTATGCCTTCACCTATTGTTTCTTATGGAACTAAATTTATTTATCCTGTGATATAGTATTAAAGAATAGTCCTGATTTCCAGCTCTCCAGAGAGTGAAGGAATAACTGAGTAGACTCACACAGGTTATGTTCGGATAAGATACCAGTAACAGCTTCATACATACGTTCAGGATGTTCTGCGTCTCATCCTACTGAGGTGGAAGTGAAGGTGACAGGTGCTGGGAAAGGGCTTTAAGTATCTCAGAGAATGGCCTTGTGTTGGATACTGAAGTCTTGAAAGTGTATGAAGAATTTGAATAAGTTGCTTAGAATGTGAAAGCGAAAAAAATAGTATATTTTAAGTAACATATAATTGTTAATATATGTAGCCAAATTAATAAATAAAGATTACCAATAGATATTTGTCAATTTTATTCAGATCCTTAAATGCTTTGATTTCAAATTGAGTGAAAAAACCTCTTCTGGATTTTCTTATAGGCAAAATGGAGGGATGTGTTAGTGTATCTGGGAATATAGGATAGACTATATTCTATTCTATTCAGAGTGCAAAGTCATGACCCGTGTTTTTCCTAGAAGCTAACTGGTGATAGGAAGACTTATGTTTTAGTCCCCTGTCCTCTGTGCCTGTGTGCCCACTTCATTCTGGGAAGGCTGTGTCTTTTCAGGAGCTCAGCTTGTCTGCCTGACCCTCCCCCGGCTCCCAGGGCCTCATGTCCTCCTTGTTGCCTCCCACTTCCTCCCATCAGTTTGCTTGCATCCCGTCACAGGTGAGGTTAAACAGCCGCTCTCAGTGCTTAATGTTTGGTGAGGGTTCTCTACTTGCTCTTTAAATGAGTGAGTACCAAGACCACTTTTTTCCTGATCTGCTCGTAGGCTGTCATTGTGGTTATTCCTCCTCGTTTACAGAGTGCACCCCCCAGAGGTTACTTCCCTCCTGTTAAGATGCTCTGGGCCCAGCAATTATAGTTCCTCTCCCTTCTGACCTAGTAGGCCATCCTATTGTCTTCAAGAAAGATCCCCTGCCCCCTGGTGAGCCCTCTATTTAGGCTGCCAGGAACTTTTCTGAATTTGTTTGAGAATTGAAGTCTTCCTGAAGTGAAGAAAAACAGCATGGTGTGGTATGTATTATACCCAGTGTGCTTTCCACCTTAGGAAACAGGTGCATTTGTGGTTTTCCATTCTAAATGTGTCCTGTGATTTCCACAGCCCCTTGTGAATCAACTGCTACCAATCAATCTCACCTTTTTCCTTGGAAAATCGCTTCTTACATTTGATTTGAAAGGGAAGTATGGGTGATTAAGAATGGGTACTGTATTCTAAAAATCGGTCTCCGTTATCTGTTTTGGTTATTGTCAGTTCAGAAAATTAAGTCTTAATTTTTCCAAAGGAAGATTTGTACCTAATTGTTGGAACTGAAATGTCTATAAAATTTTAATCTATAATGAGCAGAATTAACATTCGTAATTGTGCCTTTGATACAAAATAAGAAAATCTGCATGATGAAATTGTCTTTTGTGAGAGTATGTTCCACTGTTTTTTCATTGATTACCTTTTTTTCTGTGTGATATAGGGAATGACTCTGCATAAAAAGGCGGCTGAAGATAGACTTGCTAGTACAGGTTCAGGGCAGTCATTTCTGGCTAGGCAAAGACAAGCAACCAGCACAAGAAGATCTTACCCGGGCCATGTTCAACCAGCCACAGCAAGGTAGACAAGTCTTGCCAATAGAATAAAACACATCCTGCGTTCAAAATATACTTCTGTTACACATAACACCATTTCAGGAAATTCAGCCAGCTTGTATTTTGTCTCTATGTTATGTTAATATTTAGTTGTTTCTCATTTGAGGACTTTCTCTCTGTATCTGTAATGTTTTAGTTTCTTGGTCCTTTATTTTGTACTCCTTTCAGTTCCTTTTCATGTGCCAAAAATTTTTTAAATGCCCACTTAAAAGTGTTGTATAATAATATAATACTTTTCTTTGTATGAAAACATCCTTTCCCCAATGATGTAGGCTTTGTAATGAATTCGATTTTCTGCCAATAATTGATATACAGTTTATATTCTTTCTTGTGCCTCTGTGTTACCATGCTTTATAAGAATGTCTTTGTTTAAAGGGAATTAATCTTTTTATGATGTATTAGTCTGTGTTTTGAATTGTTTTCCAAATGCACTTCAAATAACTTGCATATTTACTATATAAAATGAATGGTTGGCAAGTGCACTTTTTGCAAAGACATAATTAATAATTACATTGGCAGAGGTGCTAATCAGATCTTTTCTAAGGCACCTGATAGAAGGGAAAAATTAGTTTTCACATTGTTTTATAGGAAATTAAATTTGTTTGAAGATTTGAAAACTATTTTTAAAACATAAATACATAGAATTTTATTATTTTCTGCTATCTTATTGCTGGCAGAAATGAATGCATTGGTTAGGTTATTAGGGGGGAAATTACAGACGAGAAAAATCAGGCAGTGCATTAATTATTTCTTGCTTTGGAATATCACAGTAACAGGATCAAAAGCTGGCAGTGTGGCTGATAGTCATGGTTTCAATTGTCCTCCACATCTGTTTTCATATATTTATAAATAATAGGTAGCATTACCTTTTGGGCAGTTTCCTTGTTGACTCGCACCTCTTTTGTTTTACTAATTCATTAATATAAACACTTCTATGTCTCAATAATTGCTGATACGTAACATCTTAATATCAGTCATTAAAATAGCAAGTGACTTCTTATATGTGATGTTGTGACAGGTCTCTTACATTTTTTCTTAATTCTACCTGTTAGTCCAAGACTTTGCGACTGAATAGATTCTCTTAGGTATTTGGTTGCATCAAAGTGTTTAGATTCATTGATAGCTTGATTATAAACCATGTTTATTTACATTGATGAATGGTTGTCAAGTAATAATGATTGTAAAGCACTTTGAGTATATAAGGTGCTACGTAACTGTAAAATATCATTTATTTGAAAATGAAATGCCTCTGCCTGACTGCATATTGACTAAAGTATTTGGTCCCAATTATATTTAAGTTCCCTTTCAGCCTTTTTCTCGCACCATAGGCCATTTTATTAAAAGCAAAAAATTACTGAAATTAGGTCAATTTTTTAATTTGTTTATTTTTGTTTTTAGATAGGTTTTCAAATTAGAGGATTTTATTTCATGTACGTGCTATTGGGAAGTTCAGGTTTCATTCAGTTCTGTGTATTAAATACAAATTAGTAACTTTAAATCAAGCTAAATGTAATTGAGAATTTTCAGAAACTGTATTCAAATGTTTGGTTTTAAATTCTTGCCTCCATTTTTATAAGAAAATCGACCTAAAAATTAGTAGTGTTTTCCTTTGTCCTCAGAAATCATACTTGAAGGTAGTTTTAGAATATACATAGAAATGACTTCATGCATTGTGCTAATTTTTACATTAAGTACAGAAATCTAAGCACAGTGTGAATGCTTCTGCCTGATATGACTGTAAAACAGGAAGAATTAGTGATAATGGAACCACATGGACAGAGGCATTGTGGAGTTTCAGAGGACTGAACAGACCTAATCAACATAGAAAGTTTTGACAATAAAAGATCAAAATCTACTTGGGATGGCTCTTATCCCCAGCCCCTCATTTTACAAATCACCTAAGGATCCAACTGTTTTAAAATAGAGCATTAATAACTTTGGTCAAGTTAAAATAATTGGGAAATTATACCTGCAGAGTACATAAAAGAATCTGTGAACTATTTATTGAAAGGATTGTATCCCCATAAAATAAGAGGTTTTAATTTTACTTCTCTATTTACTGCCCCAGTCCTGGTCTCTGACCCACCCACCTACTCAGCTCTAGTTCTCTAAGTGGGTTGGAAAGTTGCCAAGCGTTTAGAAAGAAGTGTTACTTATTTTTCTTCATCTGTTGCAGGCTATTATTTTGGTACTTTACATTCATAACTTTTACTCTCCTTTACTGTACCTTTAAAGTTTAGTATATTACTTTCATTACATTAAAGAAATTATATTTCTAAACATTCTGTGATGTTTAAAAAAAAAAAAAAAAGCAGGAATAACACTTAGCTGTAACAGCGACAACCCTGGCCAGCTTTGGATAGGATTTATGAAATTTCTATTTCTCCTGTAATGATTATAATTTCTCAGATTTGTGATGATGCACAGTCTATCTGGAAGGTAAAAGACATTGGCTGCTTTATCTAGAGGTGAGCTATGCTGTGCTTTATTTTCACAAACTCCTTAGATACAGTAGCTTCATGAAGCCACAGTTCACTTAGACAGTGGAGCTAGTCCTGGCCTCGGCAGTGGACCAAGTATACAGTGTTACTGCGTTAGGTTGAGTTGATCCATCCGCCTAGTGTCCGAATTCTTATAAACAGAAAGCTTGTTTGCTATTTTCCTTCTAACCAGGGTAAGAAAATACGAAGTAAATAACTAAGGAATATTAAAGCATAACATTTATGTTCTGCAGTATCTACTTAAGAAGTTCATAATGGGGAAAAATCCAGTAAATATTGTAGGTTACCACATCTAAAAAGAGAATAATAGTTGTACTTAAAATAACTTTCAAATTTTTAATCATATCTTTTTATAATTTGTCTAATTGCTTGTGAATAACCAAGAAAAAGAAGTCCCTGAATAAAGGACCCATGTTTCCAGAATTGGTCAAGGTTGAATTATTTGTATTAGATAGCACTAGCCTGGTAAAGCTGGCTTAATGGCATACTTAGATTATAATAAGGAAGTATTGTCTGTAATTTTATTGAGGTTTTATTGTTTATATAATAAAAACTCAATTGTACAAAATTAAGCTAAATAATATCTGGAGACATCAGCCTGTATAGTTCATTAGTTTTCACAAAGGCATGAAAATTCATGCTGTCCAAATAGATCAGCAATACGTTGTAAGTGAAAGATGAGTGAAGTTGAAGAAAAGACATTTTATTTATGCGCTACTTTACTCACATCTCCTTTTCAGTAACAGTTTTGTCGATTCTTGTTAACTAATGAGATGAAATATTTTTTAGTGTCTCTTGCTCTCAGATAAGCAATCATCCTTAAAGATAATAACCATGTTAAAAACTTGAAAATCTTTATCCCAATATAAGAATTATCTTGAAACAAAAATCTAAAAATTTTAAATTATCTTAACTCTTGGCATTTAATCTCCAATTGTCCAGATCTCAGACTCCAGGAATGTTACAGTTTTCCTCAGTTGAAACATGACATTTATCTGAAAAAGCATCCACAACCCACAGCTAGTAAGTACAGACCTAGCTAGTTCATAGACACACGGATCAGAGTATCTGTGATCCTACAGTGAAAGGAAGTACCTGGCATCTTGCTTTTTGCTAAGAGCAAAATAACAACATTAAGGCACAGTGCTTTTTGTTGTCTATCCATTAAACTATGGAAGGATATTTTGACTTTTTAGCCTTATGAAGGAACCCTTAATGAAGGAACCCTTTCCCCAGAAATGGCTGTAGAGCTGATGTAGCCTTGTACGTCTTTAACAGTGAAGCCTATGTGATATCCCAAAGTAAGGTGAGTGTACTCAATAAAATTAAAACAGGGTATCAGAAGCTTCGAAAATTATTTTAGCATGTTTTTTATTTTCCCCTTTTTATAAGTTTAAAGGGTTTTCCATTCAATAATGATCATCTCTTTTCCTACAGTTCCCACTGTCAACTTGGCAGCTTATTTTGGTAGTTGTACCAGTTTCATTACATTTAGAAAGCATTTTCAGAGCTTATTCTTTGTAACTGTAGTGACTTTATATCATGAAGTTTTTATATGAGGAAGGCTATTCTCAATGTATCTGTCATCCAGTTTTTTACTTTCTATAAAGCATATTTAAATAAGAATTGTTTGTATGTTCCTTTTATTGAAAAATTTGAAAAGGTTTTATTGTCTTAATTTCAGCATAGTAATTTTAGGGTCTAAAGTTTTGCAGTAAATATCAGTCATTTCTCAGAAGCCCAAAACACTTGAAATAACTTGTTAATAACAGCTCATTTCTACCCGTCCCCATTCCCTCAAACCACAGAAGCATTAATATTTAGCTCCTTTTTTATAAATGAAGGACAGCACAAATGGAATGACATCCATCTCTTTTAAACCACTGATTATGTTCTTGGGAAGTATGTACTGATTATTTTGTTTTTAAACAGTCTTTTATCAATCCAATTTACATGTATTATCTTGAATATAAAACCGTATGAAACTTAACGTTATCTTTAAATGCCCTTGGATTCTCCACATTGCACTTAAAATGATAGAGAAGAGGCATTAGTTACTGAGAAACTAGAGGCCTGAACCTAGTTATGGCAAGTATGTGAGTTTTGGCAGTTGTAGGGGATCTATAAATGTTTCCTAACAATTATATATCAGCAATTACATTATGTCTCTCTTCAGTATTTTTCTGCTTTCAATATTTTCCAATAATATCCTGTAAGATAAGTTTGTATGCTGTATATAAGTGAGCATAGAAATCTGAGAAAGTAATAGAAATGCTATTAAGGCAAATCCATTTCTTATTGGGATAAGAAATAGCCTAGTTATAAAACACATCCAGGCAGATGGAAGTTTTAATACAATGAAAACTTATACTGTCTTAACAAATGTTCCTAAAGTAAAAGTTCACATAAAATTTTCTGACTTTATTATGTGATCATTCCTTAAAAGAGTGGGCAGAATATAATTTATTTTCTAATTATCATTCCCTTCATTGGGCATTAACTGGGCACACAATATTAACTCTGTATGTTATCACTGGAGAGGAAAGCATCTTTTCATTTTGAAACTGTTAACCCATTACTAAACCTAAGGTAGTGATTTAAGTTCATTGAGAATACTGTGATTTGATGAGATGAGAAGAAATCTTTGGGGCTGAAAATCACTATTGACTTCCTAACAGTTATCTAGATTAGCTGCTTTATCTAGTTTACAAACCATAGGCTCAGTTTTATGTCCCTCTTAATTATACATAGTAGCCTCACAGAAAATTTTGTTTAAAGTGAAAGCAAGAGTATATATTTTTAAAAATATATTCAAGGAGAGCCCTTATGTATCTGATACATTATCACCAGGCTCTGAATTAGATGTTTGGAGTGTGAAGACCAAGTCATCAGAGAAGTTATCGATAGCCTCAAAATTTTAGGCCCCAGGGGCTATCAGATATCCTGAATTATATCTACTCAGAGCTTAAAGGAAAAATTAAGTGTCATGGGAAGAACAACCTCAAAGTGAGAAAAAGAAAACTACCAAAGCATGCTGAGGCTCTAATAACACATGGGAGACTTTTGAGCAGGCATTACCACTTTAGAGATTTCTAAATTGGCAATAGAAAATAATTAGTTTAGCAACTATATTGTGAAATTAAGAAAAGGGGCTCATATTTATTCTTGGTGTATCTGCTAACCTATAGTCAGTGATTACTTTATATACACTTTATCATGTGTTTATTTTATGTATGTCACTATTAGAAATGAGTGTCTTATTATTTAGTGTTACTTCTAATCATTTATGTGTTATTTATACTTCCCTGCAAGATTCACAGCACTTTACTAATATTAGATAACTATTTTCCTTCTACCTTTCTGTGGCATGTTTTATCTTTTCCACTGGGGTTCTTTTCCTTACTTTGGAGCACTCACTTAGAAAAATGTCAAAGATTGCCCAGGTAAATGGGCTTTGTACTCTTCCTGAAATTTTTTTAAAGTCAGATCGGAAGTTCTAAGTCTGGAAGTATATTTGAAGCTGGTTTGGGGCTACTAAGCATGAATTACATTTTATATTTCACATTAATAAGACTCATAAATTAATAACACATGAAAACAAGTTCTCTCAAATGCTAACACCCGTGAAACTTTTTGTTTTCTGGAGTCGCAGTGATAAAAATGTAATCAGTCTTCTGGTGAATCAGAAGATACTCTTACCTTTGATTTTCCTGTCTCCTAAAATACCAGCCTACAGATGGCTCTTAGCGTTCATAATTTCTTCATCATTGCATGTACCCAAAGACAGGGGAAAGAAAGCCAAATACCAGGAGCTGTGAAGTCAGAATCTGGTAAGTGGTGGCGGTGAGGTGATGGGAAAAGGCAGGTCCTGAAGAGGGCAGAATACTACAGAGATACTCTTAGTGCTACTATAACAGATATGCTTTATGAACTTGGTCATTTTCTTGAGTTCAAACATAGCAAAGTTTTTGGCTTACTAAGAGGTGTTTTTAGGAGTCAGGACTCTTCTATGTGTAAGTTGAATAGAACAGTTTTCAAATCATAGTGAAAAAATACTAAAATACTTGTTACATAAGCATTGACACATGATTTACTGCCAAAGAATAGGAAGATTTGCTCGTAAGAACTTTCTCTTAGAGTTTTGTATTAACTGTGTTTTCAGATGAGAGAAATGGTTTTATCGTGTGCAAAGTGTCTGTAGCATTTCCTTCTGCAGTACCGCCCGTTCTGCCGATGTGCTTTGCTTAGCAGGCCACCTAGAAAGCAACACTGAAACAGAAGCCTAGACGCTGACCTTTGAGAAGAGAGCTGCTTTTGTGCTTCCAGAGTAAGAAAGTAAACACACACGAGCGCGCGCACACACACACACACACACACACACAGACAACATACATTTTGGGTGTCTACTAATTAGTTGTTGAATGGATAGGTCTCCGTCTAAATTGTCTTTTATCATCCATTGGCTTCTTGTTAATCTAGATAAGAGTAGATTTTAGACCTGCATCATCCAATTATTAGCTGCTAGCCACATGTGACAATTTAAATTAAATAAAATATTTGGTTCCCCAGTCACCTAGCCACACTAAGTACTTCAGTAGCCACACATGGGTAGTGTTACCATACCGGCCGAAACAGATTTAGAACATTTTTGTCATTGCAGAAAATGCTTTTTGCCAGTGCTGTAAAACCCCAAGGGAAAACAAAGGCATTCAGTTAATGTCTGATAACTCCTAGACTTTACTGCAATCGTTCAATAAAGCTATTTTTCTTATTAAAATTAATAGCCCTTTTTAAACACCTTGGAAGAATGAAAACCCCATTCTTTAAAACTACTTTTCAGTATATATATATATTTTTTTCAACTTTAATTTTATTGTTGACACTATTAAACAGACTCTTAGCACTTTACTTTTCAAATGACATAATTGTCATTTCATAAATCATAACTTAGTATCTTCATGTTTTTTTCTTTTTTATGTAGTGTTTTAACATTGATGATAGTTTCTAACATGTACCGAGCAGAAACTGATGAGTGCTTAATTTATTTACAAGTAAAAATTGATAAATACATTCTTCTGTTTTATTACTTCTGAATCTATATAGAGCTAATGAAAGTGGCCAACAATTATTTTTCAGTCCCTACGATCAGATTCGATTATTTTCTACCTTAAGGTACATCAAGATCCAAATGATTTCTTTAGTTTCCTTCAGTGTCTTGCTCTTAATAACTCAGATTATGAATCAAGTTAAATTTTATGTATAAAGCAAACATTTTATTCCAATGAATTAGTTAATGAAACATTGTTTAGTATTTATTAATTCACTTGGCCTATGACTAAAGCACGTAACATAACTAACAGGATCTATACAAATACATTGGTGAGTTTTTAATGAAAATAAGAGACTAATCATAATTCTTTTGAGTTAAGTTTGTACTTAAACTATCCTGTTAGGAAGTCATGATGCTTTCTTCTTCCTTGTACAAAATTTTTAATCAAGCAATGGAACTTGTTCCAGTAGTATCAAATTCCAAGCCAATTATGATAAAATTCTTATTGTCGTTCAAGTTCAGATGAGTCTACGATTTGAGTTTATTATTTTCTTGGTGCCTAACTTAATGTGTTCTACAGAGACTCATATTAAGGGAAATTTTCAATATGCTTGAAATAAGAAATAGCATTTTAGTATAAATACAGGAAATAACTGTACACAATGCCAATCAATGATTTGAGGCCTTCTGATTTTTTAATGGTAGCCTTTTCTTTTTTAATAGCCTTAGTTATTTAAAATTCAGATGCACTACAATGTCACTGCTGTCACTAACTTTGCTGTTTGCAGGTTATGTGTAATTCAGAATGCGTTGTACTCGGAAGAGTAATGTCCGGGTTTGTCTTGTTTTGCAATCTTCATGTTTTGACAATTGCCCCACCATTTATAACACCCAAGTTTCGGTTGTATAATGAATGGTGAAAGTCAAAGATATCTGATAATTTGCCTTATTTAGATTAATAAATTATATCAAAGATTTGGGGATAGAAAGAGGTTCCCCCCCCCCAAGTACTTTTTGAACTTTTCAGATGAGCTGGAAAACACCCTAGTACATTGGAGTTGGAGTTGTATTGATTACAGTCCCAGCTCTAAAGCCTTATACTCATGTCTTAAGTATTATTGATTGTTCTGTGAGTTGTTCTTAATTTCATATTTGACACTATAGTTATCTACCGAAGTTAAGCCTTTACAAAAAGGAGACTGCTAGGTATGTTCTTATTTCTGGTTGACTATTGAATCAATCATTTCACAATTTCATTCTTTGTCCAAAAAATGGAATCCACATAGGACTCAAAATTTCTCACTTTATAAGTGGAGTCAATACAAATTTAGTAACATTGGCATACAAGCATTTCCCCCCATGTTTACCAACTATTTACTGTGAGGTAGGTGGATTTTCTCACTGTTTTTCTGAGGTGAATGAATTGGTAGAGAACCTTAGTAAGAAATTTCTACTAAAGTCACAAAAATATAAAGTCCAAGAAACTACCAGAAGACAGATTTTTAAATTTTTTTGAAATCTTATATTGAATTTCCTTTTGATATCACTTATTCATTTTAATTTTATGACTGCCAACTTGTTATGGTATTAATTATATGTACATGTTTATATGTATGCATATAATATATGTATATGTATATGAAGAATAAAGTTAAGATTTGGTCAAACTATATTTTCCCATTCGAGTACAAAAATGTTTCAAGGCTGCAAAAAGTGTACAGTTGTTAAACAAGTTGTAAATAAAGACTTGTATAAAAATTCAGCTGAGTTTTTTTCCTTCTCTTAAATCATGACAAACACTAATCTCATAACTAATAGTTTTCATCCACTTGCCTTTGGCACTTGACATAGTGTGCTGTCAATTTAAAGATTATACCACTGATTTAGTGTAAATCAAGACTATTTGAGGTTTTTTTCCCTAGTACCTGTGATAGATTTTGTTTTGATTTAGACTGGTACTTAATGTTTGTATACTGCTTGTGCAAAGGTCTTAGGGTTGAAAATTAAACATGGCTTCTCCCCTCTTAGAGTTATCATGTTAATATGATCATTCTTACCACAGACAGTACAGCAAGAACCAATGGCAGAGTATTTATTTTGTTTAACAACATAAAGCATTGTTGGCATTCTATTTAGGCAATAAGTGCCTTTTCCTGCCTTGTAGACCCTGACAACTCACCATTTTCCCACCTCACCCTAAACATTATTGAAATATGGCATCATCAGTGTTATGTAAAGTTGTAGTAGCAGTGTGGAAATTGATTATATTTACATCAAAATAATCAGTTAAGTAATTTAGAAGTGAACTTCGTGCCAAGATTTTAAAAACTAGTGTGCACATAGCTCATTTTAATATTGGAAAACATGTTTTACATATATATATATTAGCATGGAAATAACCATATTAAGTTTAATATATTGAGTGTCCTGAGTATTTAATATTGAAGCACATGAGAAGGTAGGTTGAATCACAAAAATTAAACCAAAAAATGTCTTTGCCTTCAAAGGTTTGGATTATCAAATGGGGCACAACACAGAAAAGTTCCCAAATAGAAGTAGCTCAGCCGAAAGTCTACCAGTTTGCATTAGCATTTATGCTTCTGTTCTGGTTAATGCTACATCCAAAACTTAATGGCTTTAAATGGTATGTTATCTCTCGCAGGTTTGGAGACAAGCTCAGTTACTCTCATTTGGGGTCCCTCATTCAATTGCAGTTAGGTGATGTCTGAGGCTAGAGTCATCTGAAGGCTGTTCTCACATGTTTGGTACCCTGACTGACATGGACAGAACCTGAGGGCTAATCAAGCAACTCCACACAACCTCCTGACATAATTGGTTTGGACACCTACACAATGGAGTCTCAGGTTAGATGGACTTATTACATGCAGCTAGCTTCTCCCCCAACCCAACCCCCTGCCCAAGCAAGACTTCTCAGAGATCTGTGAAAGCTTCAAAGCTTCTTAGGACCTAACCTTGGAAACTACACAGCATCACTTCTCTTTTATTGTAAGAATTGTCACAGATAAGATTAGGTTCAAGGGACTGACTGCATACACCCCACTTTTAAGTGGAGGAATGATCCAGCTTACTATCCAGCTACCCTTCTGGATTCAAAGAGAAGGAAGGTTTCTGCTATGAAGACCACACTGATATAGTCGGCAGTTAGAATGAGCAGAGTAGGGGTCATAAGCCAGGTACAGAAAGTCACCACGGTGGAAAGCCATGGATGCAATGGACAAAAATGGAAAACAAGTATTTTAGGGTGGGACCTTGCCCCCAAGACCCTTTCCTCCCCTAGAATATTGCTGATCATGTGTTTTAGACACCACCACCCCGACCATATCACTCATCATGTGCTCTGTGCCCTCCCCTGACCTTTCTTCCCGTCACCAGTCATGTGGTGGACCACCTTAGAGGAGGAATGATGAGGCCAGAGAATAGCTTCATACAACTCCCATACAAGCCCTTGCAGGACCTCTTCCTTAAGCACTAAGCCCTCAAGACAATGAGGTTCTGGCCCACATCAAATAATCTTAGGAACAAAGCCTCGGGTCTGTTGACCACAGAGACAGTTTCGGTCAAACTAGCGATAACATCTAGGCCTCAGTTGTGTTTCAGCTCCAGGCCCAGAAAAGCAGCAAAACCAGCTGAAGCAATGTCATGGTTGACATCAGGACCTGCTGCATTGACGAATGACCCCCTGAAAGGACACACCTGGAATGCTGATGAATATTGTATTGGATCCTCCCCTGAAACCTCCCCTAAAACCCCTCCCTTTGGTAAACAGATAAAAGCCCTGAAGATGAAGGGCTCAGCCTCCCCCCCATCTCTCACACACGCCTTCGTTTACCACCACCTTCTTTCCTTAACACAAAGGACCTAGTGCTCACTCGTTCTCTAGAGCATGCCTGAGCCTTCTTCCTTCAGGCACATACCTTTGCTTGCCTTCTCCTAAGCTCCAAGTGCCCTTCTTTTGCCTCTGTAACTTGTTTCCTGAGTCCACACAGCCTAGCTGGCTCACTTGTACAGCTTACTTGTTCTACTTCTGTGACTTTCTAAATAAACTTTTGCATGTCTTTGAGTTCTTAGCTCTGAATTCTTTCTTAAACAAACTCAAGGACCGAGGTCTAACTTCGCCGGTAATATCTGGTACCATTCGCCATTAAGAATACTTCTGAAGTCAGAATCTTTCCCCATTTCCTAATCCCTGTGCCAAGTACATTAAAACAGTGGTGCAGAACAATGAGCTAATGTAGCTGCAGTGTGAACAAAACCTCAGGTAGATACTACCTAGAACTCTGTAAGTCTGAAGCCACAAATACACTAGTACTATTTTTGTATGTGATATGAGCTATAAAATGTTTCTACCCCCTACTCTGGTAGTTAATCTGGGGGACTATATTTTAAGGAAATTGTCCAAAATATGAATGTGTAGTGTACGTATTCCTAGCCAAAGTCCAGATTAGACATTACAGACGAACACATTAGTGAATTTTAAGACATAGCAATAGAAACTACTCAAAATGAAATACAGAGGGGGGAAAAATAACTGAAAAGAGATTAACAGAGCATCAGTGAACTATGGACTTCAGATCAATAATATGTGTGTAACTGGAGTTTCCAAAGGAGAAGAGCAGGGAGATAGAAAAGTATTTGAAGAAACAATGGCTGCATTTTTATAAATTGGAGGAAAACTATAAACCTACAGATCCATGAAGCTAGTGACCCCCAACCAAACACAAGAAATGTTAAGAAAAATTCATAATGGCACACCAAACCAAATTGCTTAAAACCAGTGGTAATCTTAAAATCATCCCGAGTAAAAAGGCACACTATGTACAGAAGAACCAACAAGGATGAGAGAAAATTCTTATTGGAAGCCATGGCAGGCAATCGCTAAGATGGTCTCTGATGATCTCACCTCCTGGTGTTCATGTCCTCCCCCCCCCCCCCCC